TAACCTTACCCAGATCTTCAAATTAATTATGCAGTGAGGAACACTGGAGGAGAGCCCACTAACTCCATACAATCTTTTCACTCTCCATGATTTAGAAGCAACAGGATTTATAGAAATGGGATATTTTCTACGTCAAGAATAATTTTCATCTTATACAATGTAAGGTCCAGATATTCCAAGGCTTTAAGTCATGTTGGGACTGGAACCTCCACAGACCATAAAAACTCTCCTGTGTAGACATTTGCCTCCCATTTAGGAGGAAGATGACCCCTGGCGACTGAAAATAGTGAACTTCGTGCATTCTATCATATATGAAGTCTGAATGCCTGAACAGATATGCAATGAATGGGTTATACAACTGTCAATTGAAATGGTTTCAGAGCTTTTCCTGGATATGGGAGATCTTTTATGGTCTAAACAGTTGCACAAGGCTATGAACACCTGTTCTATTCTGGATCTCAATCACAAGAGAACTGACCATCACCAAAGAAAGCATTTCCCAATGCAGCCTTGAAACAGGTCCACAAAAATTAATTGTCTGCAGAAAAAAAAAAAGTACTAGCTTGTATGAGTGGGTGACATAGGACGCATGAATGCTTCTGCTTTTCTTCCTCCAAATATTTTGCGAAATATTTGGACAAAATATTCCAAAGCCTGCACTCACTGACATGCAATTCCCAGTCACCTAGAGTGACCAAGCAAATTACATTGTTGTTGTTTAGTCATTAAGTCTAAATTACATTAAAGCTGCCTTAACAGCTAAATTAACTGCTGTGGTCTGGCCTGGAGTGTTTCTAATGCTAGTATGGTTATTTACCTTTGGGGTTTTGGTATTGTTTATGTTTTAATTTTGTAAGCTGCCTAGAATCATATATGTGAGATGCGCAGCTATATAAATTGAATAAATAAATATTATCTGAATAGTAACTGCACGAGAACATGGGAACCTATTTTAAACCAGGTTAACATTATTTTTCAGCCCGTAAGGTATTGTCTACTCTGATGCTGTAGGTTTTTGGATATAAAGATTTCTCCCTCTCCTCACCATTTAATATTTTTAGCATCAAAATCTAAATATGGGGGTCTTGCTGCAGAGAAAGATGAGCTATGGTCCTCCCTATGTCATGCTGGATTGTCTCATAGCAGAAACCACCATATCATATGGCAAAATCAGATTATCATCTCAGGTAGCACTTGTCCAAAACATTATCAGAGAGAGATGGCCCCCTGTCTCTTTAGAAGAAATTGAATATTGATCCTGGCATTGCCATCAGGCAAAGCCCCTGGAGAAGACTATATCCCTGGTGATTTATTAAAAGCTAATATTGTCTGCTGGAAGCCTATTTTGGCTAAACTCCTTAATAACATGAATTCCTCTGGCCAACTTCCCTGGGGTGGAATTACAAGCATAGTGATCCCAATATACAAAAAAGGTGACCATAGCCACCCAGAGAACTATAGACCAATTAGTCTAATTAATATTACAGCTAACATTTATGCAAAACATCTAGCTAATAAATTAGAGGACTGGGTCATCGATAACAATCTCCTTGCAGAGGAACAGGCAGGGTTCAGAGCTGAGCAGGCTCATCAGAGGAGGTTAAACCAACAGTTTTTAACTCTGAGTCATTGAATAAGTCACAACTGACTGGAATGACACATTCTGACAAGCCATGGTTTATAAATCTCAATCATTCTGAGCCAAAACCAAGTAGCCACAGTATGAAGTGCTATGATGAGTGAATTAGTCAGTGTCCTAGGCCAATTTTGCCCCCCAAATTATAACATTATATTAAATGGTACTAAGTGAACAAAACAGATTTGACTTTCAGCAAGTATCAGTTGACGCCACACTAGAAGAGACCATCATAGGGCATCTCACCGACACTCTTAAAACCAGGAAGCCAAAGAAAGGAGTTGGAGTGGAATATTTCATGGCCAGTAGCTCTCATATTGTCCCTGTCTCTCCTATGGCTTTTATTTAATACAAATTCTTATATACCCTTCCTTACCATTAAAAATGATCCCAGAATAATTACAGTAGTCCATAATATCCAGCAAAGGGCAAGTTCAAACAGAAGCCAGTGAACAAAAATGTCTACCATCCAACTGTAGGCTCATTATTAATCCAAAAATTAATGGTGGAAAAAAATATCCTGTGCCAAAGATATTAATCCCCAAATCAACCAGCATCCCTAGTAGTCTATTCTCCAAGGGAGGCTTGTTCCACTACCAACTTATTACAGGTTCCAGAAGCCCAGGCTTCTGAAGGGTTAACTAATGCTCTGCAGACGTTTTTGAGGATGTCCTTCAGTTTTCTCTTGGTGGTATTTTTGAGCTTTTTTTAACCATTGAAGTCCGAGGAGGGTACTACTGATTTTCTTGCTTTCTATGGTAGATGTTTCCATCACTCTGCAACCTTCCTCACTGCCTGAACTTCCCAGGCATCATATCCAAGGAAAGCGGGTCAAGATTCGATGACGGCTTGTTGAACCTCTTGCTCACAGTATGGCTTATCTCTAAATGTGCTGGCCTGAGGGACACACATAAGATGCTGTGACATTTGTTTAGGCAGGTGAGAGAAAGGATTATGTGGGATGTCCACGTGAATGCCTAGTTCACAAACACCCATTGGCATGTGCCTGTTTCTTCTGCAGAAACCCTCGACATTCCTACTGTTGTTTGCTCCCTTGCTCGCAGCTTGTCCCTCTTCTAAGAATCATGAACGCTTTCTGTAACCCCAATGCCCTCTAGAGATCACCTAGATGTGTTTGGGAGTGGTGGAGACAGTAGTCTTGGGATCGCGGGAAGACAACTCTAAGAGGACAACACTTCAGGTCAAGGAGGACAGGAGGTTCCGCGTGCGGTGGCCGGGAGAACCGCCCCAGCCACACAGTCACCTTTGCTGCTTCTTCCTCCTCCTCCTCCTCCTCTGCCACCGTAACAGTAGATGCTGAGCTCAGTTCCTACACAGGCCCAGTGACCCGCGTGTCAGAAGCCATCTACGCACCTCCACACGCATCCTCCGCATCCTCCGCCGCTGAGCCCTGGATACTTAAGGGGTCCACGGGGAGCCGCCGCCTCCCGCCAAGCGCTCTGAAAGGCGACCGCGTGGGCGAAGCGCGAGCGGAGCGAGGAGGAAGCCCTCCAAAGGCGCCTACACCGCAAACGACCCAGCTGCGCCGGTCCCTCCCCCCTCGCAGTTTTATGAATGGAATTCTCCAGCCGGAGCCGGATTACTATGCCGCCCGGCGCTCCAGCGCGCGCTTGTCCTCCTTCGTCACCTGATTGGCTCCCGCCGCCATTGACGTCACCCGAGCGAACGCCGAGCGAAGGGAGGAGCCGCCCGGCCAGAGCCCTTAAGTATGAGTCACCCTCAAAAGGGGGCTCGTTCACTATAACTCCGCGCGTCCCCCCCTCCCCAACTGTCGGCCAGCCTGACTCCGTCGCTGCAGCTAGACCGGGCTCCTCCATCTTCGCAGCCCACCTGATAGCTCCAGCCACATCTGCATTGAGAGAGGCGGATTCCTTCTACCTGCAGCCATCCAATCGGACGCACGGATCGACCCCGCTGCTATCCGCCCCCTCCCCAGCCGAGGCTTCCTCCCCGCTGAATGTGCAGTTGGACCCTCTTCCAAGGTGAGTGCCGCCACCTCCCTCTTGCCTTCGTTATCTGACAGCCCAGGAGAACCTTCTGTGCACCTTTGCAAGATACCAGAGCTTAGCTCTCCATCTAGACCCATTAACACACGCGCGCAGACAACATAACACAAGTCTAGACGCTTATTTTTAAAGACATTTTCAGCTGTGCAATCCTAAACTTGTTAAGTTGGCTGCGAGTCAGTAGGCTTTATTTAGGATTGCACCGTTACACATCATAATTGGAGAAGACCAAGAGAGACTTGGATGGTGGAACACCTTTCAGATCCCTCTGCCTGATACTGATCAACCTCCACAAATCCAAAGCATTACCCAATAGATCACCATCAAGTCTTTTCTCAGGAAACAAACCAGAATTGAACTCTTGAAGGATGGGTCCCCTAATTTGATGCCTTTCTGATGTACCTAAGACTACAGGCTCCCTAATTCCCATCCAGGGTGGCTGTTAGTGGTGTTAGTGGCTGTTAGTGGTATTTCACCTGGTGGTGAAATATGGTGTTCCGTACATGTAGAGAGCAGCAAGCTGGAGAAAGTTAATTAAAGATGTCCATTTATATAGATCTATTCCTACACTTTAATGCATTCATCCACATGATGATTTAACAGACACAGGCAGGATAAAAACAATTGTTTTTTAAAAAAGGAGGACATAAGCATGGTTCAGCTTGCTCCCTTGACTTTTCATAATGACTACCAGCTCTTTAGCAGAAAGGCAGAGGAGGTTTAGAAGTTGGATGCCTGCTGTACAACGTTATTTTGATGTGTTGCACGCTGTATGGAGCCACATCTTCCCTGTAAACGTCTTTAAATGCCATGACTGAAAAGAGCTAAGTTACATCCTGTGTCAGGCGAGCAAGAGAGAAAGCTTGGCAGGCAGGCAGGCCTGTCCAGGAACAAAAAAATATATATACATGTCACCTACGTTGACAAGAGACAACAGGGAGATTGGATTGTTCCCTTTGATCTTGATGGTTTGTTTGAGGAACCAAAAAGGAGACAGGGAAGGTGGCAAACAATGGCAGGCCCAAGCCAGAAATATCCCATCCAGAAGGCATTGATAACAAGAACACAACCATCACAGACAAGCTATGCCTACAAAATTAGTCACCTTTCATTGTTTTAGGCAACTTCTGGGCTTAAAGGTAGCTGGTTTGCCTCCACCTTGACTTCCAACACTAGAAAGCGTAGTGCCAGTTCAGGGACTCCTTCCCTTCCACACACACACACACACACACACACACGCCCGCCCAAATGCTTACAAGTACCTGCTGCTCCACTTCAAATCTGAGTTGGAACTGAGTTGGCTTTTCACCTGCCGTTTCAGATCACCGGCAGAGAGCATGAAAGAGGAAGTGCCCACAAACAGCACCAAGCTCCAGCCAGGCTGGTTTGTGCCTACTAATGGGAGCGCCAGCAAATCCTTCTATTTCTCAGAGACTCCTCCTGCTCTTCCCTTAAATCCTTGGGACGTCGTACTGTGTGTTTCCGGGACAATCATCTCCTGCGAGAATGCCATTGTGGTGGCCATCATCTTTTACACCCCAGCTTTCCGGACTCCGATGTTCCTGCTGATCGGGAGCTTAGCTACTGCTGATCTCTTGGCTGGCTTGGGCCTGATCTTTCACTTTGCGCTTGTTTATTGCGTCAGGTCGCAGACGGTGAGCCTCCTCACAATGGGCCTTCTGGTGACCTCGTTCACAGCCAGCGTGGGCAGCCTTCTGGCCATTACCATAGACCGCTACTTGTCTCTCTATAATGCACTGACCTACTACTCAGAGAGGACCGTCACCCGGACCTACGTCATCCTCATCCTCACTTGGGGGGTCTCCATCTGCTTTGGACTGCTGCCCGTGATGGGCTGGAATTGCTTGAAAGACAACTCCACCTGCAGCATCATCAAACCGTTGAACAAGGACCACCTCATCATCCTGTCTATTTCCTTCTTCATGGTCTTTGCTGTCATGTTGCAGCTGTACGTACAGATCTGCAAGATTGTCTGTCGGCACGCCCAGCAGATTGCCCTCCAGAGACACTTCTTGACCACCTCGCACTATGTCACCACTCGGAAAGGAATCTCCACTTTGACTCTCATCCTGGGGACTTTTGCCTCCTGCTGGTTACCCTTTGCTGTTTACTGTCTCCTGGGAGATTACACCTACCCTGCCATCTATACCTATATGACTGTGCTCCCTGCAACCTATAATTCCATGATCAATCCAGTGATCTATGCCTTCCGGAACCAGGAAATACAGAAAGTCTTATGGGCTATATGCTGTGGGTGTATCTCTTCCACAATGCCTTTCCAATCCAGATCTCCCAGCGACGTCTGAATCCTCCATCTCTTGCTCCCTCTCTCTGCTCAAAGAGCCCTTTTTCCTTTTTCCCAGTCCCTTGCTGCTGAAGAGAACTCAAATGTGCAGAACTTCTAATTTCCTTTCCTTCCCCTCACCAATGTAAGTGACAAGGCTGTCCTATCTTTTATTTATTTATTTTGACTTCAGGAAGAAGAGAAATCGTTTATTTTTTTAACCATGCATTTTTTAAAAGAAAGAAAAAAAAGGTGTTTCTGCTTTTGTGTGTGTGCGCATGTGTGTGTGTGTGTTGGTTACATGTCAGATCTGATACAAATATTTTGTCTGAAATATTGATAGTGCATTATTTTCTTAAAAAGGAAAAACGGCAAGAAGCCTCAAAACCTTCAACCTTTCTTTTGAGTTTTTATAGCCTTAATTACCTCAGATCTCTAGAAAACTATTTTTCTACATTTAAACAAATCCCACTGTACCCCCTTCCATTTCTTCTTCCATCAGTGGGGGTTAAAAAAAAAAGAAAAGAAATAGCCCAGAGCTATGCCAGGTTTTCAAAACAAAATAGATTCCCCCCAGTTCTGTATTTTGCTGCCCCCTGGTGTTAATTCTAATACATGCAACCATAAGGAGAATCATGTGCTATGGGGTGGGGGGGATGGAACGCATGAAGAGAACAAGTCTTTCTCACATCGGTCATCCAGGACAGTATTAATAAACAGAATGTATAATATTAGATATGAAGCAATGCGAATGTCAAGAGTAATGCAGAACTAAAGGCTTTCAAAGGCACTAACCCTGAATAAGTAACGTCAAGATTACAGCCGCAGTGTAGCTGCTCCCAACTTTAGATTCTACGTTGGACTACAGTTTTCATTATCCTAACTGTCCAGGCCAAGAATGAAGGTAGTTAGTAGTTCTAGTCCAATATTGTTGGAGCCCAGGTGACAAATGGCTGAAACAATTGCACTAGGAAAAGGGTGGGGGTGGGGGT